GTGCGTGCCCGCATAAGGCGTGTACAGGGGGCGCTGTTTGCCAAAAACCCGATCGAGCGCGAAATGCAAAAGTTTAGAAAAATGGGGCCGTATTTTTTCGGCCCGGGCGACTCTGATTTATCGAGGCGAATTAATTCCAAATGGAAACGATTCTTTCAGAGAAAATGCCGGCATTGGCTTATAAGTTTTGGGTCATATATATTATGAAAATTTGTTATTTATTTGGGGTAATACAAATAGGGATGATTTGTATTGAAATATTATGATATATGCATATTTATACTATTTATTATTTTTGAACTAGTGCACACATTTTGCAACCGAATATTTCTTGTTGACATTACCTCAATATATTACTCTGTTATACGATCGAAAAAAAAAGATGTTAGATGTGGCTTGGATACGAAGATTGCTGTCATTTTGTATGCAAAATTATATGGGGAATGTCGTCGATCGTTATTTCCACGCCACCTGGAAGGCGTTTTTTGGAAGTGAAACTTCAAAATTTGATTTGAAGCTAAGAAAATCGTTATAATAAACTTGATACTGTACCTTTGTACCAATATCCTCTGGTTGTGTGCTAGGAAGTAAATTTTCATGCATTTTTTCATCGATAGGTTTGTAGCTTCTGAATAACAGTCTAGGTAAAGCATCTAGCTCATTTGCTAGCTCAGAATTAGAATTATTAGAGTTAAGCAACTCGCATTTTCGTTGGAGGACATTGTCATATTTATTTCAAACCAATAATCAACGAAAATATTCGTATAATTTATCAAAATTACTCGAAATTTCTTCTCTTCATAAATAAATATTAAGGCATTTGATTAAAAGTGTGTATTTTGGGTGGTATTCCTTGCAAAAATTATGTCAAACCGCCTGCACCCACATATAGAAAAAATCCTCCCAGAATCGCAAACGGGTTTTCGCATCAACCGCGGTATCGTCGATTCCACATTCTCCATCCGGCAACTACAGGAAAAAGTGAAAGAGCAGCAGTCTAAACTTTACGTTGCATTCATCGATCTAACAAAAGCCTTCGACTCTGTGAACAAAGATGCACTTTGGGCAATTATAAAAAAGTTTGGAGTACCCATCAAATTTCTCACAGTGTGTAAGTAAAGAGTAAAGCCTCCATAACAATAACAAATCAAGAGTGTCATATCATGGATCACTGAGCGATCCCTTCCTAACAAACATAGGCGTTAGGCAGGGATGTGTCTTAGCGCCTCTCCTATTCAATATATTCATGGCAGCGCTCTCCATTATAGTGGACAGCAAACTGCAGGAGAGAGGTTTGGGCATTAGATACAGATACGACGCGACGGCGGACTGTTCAACATAAAAAGACTCAGGGCAAAAACACGTACAAAATTCATCACAGAACTTAAATAAGCGATGACTGTGCTCTAGTTGCAAATACGTTACAGCAGTTGCAAGAAATGTTGAACACATATACATGGGCATACGAGGCCTAGAGACTTAAGCTGAACATCGATAAAACTAAAATCATGTGCACTCCCCTGGAAGATCACAACAATGCTATAAAAATCGGAGATGAGCTGTTGGAATATTTAGCCGAATTCAATTACCTCGGCAGTTTGATTTCGGAAAAGGCCAATATCGACTCTGAAATTCAGCACAGGATTAGCAGCGCCTCAAGAGCATTCTGGAAATTAAAAGACAGGGTTTTCTACAATCATGACTTGAGAGCAAAAACGAAACTTGCAGTGTACCGAGCAATAATAATTCCCACTATGTTATATGGAAGCGAAACCTGGGTGCCGTACCGCCGACACATGAACGCATTAAACAACGTTGCAACAGAGACATCTTAGACAACTCTTAAGAATAAAATGGTTGCATCATGTCTCAAACGTATCGGTCCTTAAAAAAGCTAACTGCGAGAGTATTGAAGTCATGATTACAAAGTCCCGCTTAAGATGGGCTGGTCACGTATGCAGAATGCAGGAAAACCGCATACCAAAATCTCTGCTTTACGGTGAGCTTGTAGACGGTAAGAGGAGGACGGGTGGTCAACTCAAAAGGTTCAAGGATATTTTCCACGAAAACTTAAAGGGAATTAACAAGCAGAATGAGTAGGAAGAGCAGCTCACAATAGAACGGAATGGAGAAGAATTGTAATGTCAGTTAACAGCGACAACCAAAAAGTAAAGAAGCAACAAAGCAATGAGATTTTTGAATGTCCGTAGTGCGGTAGGCAGATAACATCATGTATCGGGCTTTTCAGTCACAGAAAAGCTCATGAAAGAAAACGCCTTGCGTGACCATCTTCTGATGCGTGTCAAATACTCGTCAGCGAGTAATGGCAGTATGTGTATGTATGTATTACACAAAATTTGCAGGCTTTTCAGGAAACAGAAAATATACAGATTACAGAAATAAATTGAAATTAATATTCTCAAATTAATTTTCTTGGGACATTTAGGTTCCGAAAACACTGAAATTATGTTTCCATCTTGCTTAAAAAACTTTATTTAGTCTATAGACAAACGTTTCGACCCACAATACAGCCATGACATGATTTTCACTATCTATACTATATTGTGCTGTGATAGATTGTCTGTTTTTGGATATTATTTTTTGTAAATTCTTTTATGATACATGTAACACTTATGAAGGCTGTATATAGACTAAATAAAGTTTTTTTAAACAAGATGAAAACATAATTTCAGTGTTTTCGGAACCTAAATGTCCCAAGAAAATTAATTTATGAATATTATTTTCAATTTATTTCTGTAATCTGTATATTTTCGATACAAGATTCAAGAACTTAAAATTTCCAAGAAAATAATATTTATAATTTATAAACAGCACTATATGTAACTCTTTCAAACATTCAATCCTTCAATTTAATAGATGTTTGTAAGAAGTTTCTCTTCAAATATGCGCACATAGTGTACACACTATTTTTTTTGTTGAACTTGTATTAAATTGCATATTTATTAATCTTAATTTAGTAAATAAGTCTCTTGGAAACCTGAGGCTTTATTGTTAGAGGTATCATGCACAAACCTAGCATAATATTCCAAATCATATAATAAGACAAACTACAATAGAGTATACTCATAAATTAACATATTACAATGCTATTAAAAACATGTATTTAAATAATTATTACTCATTATTATATATAAGAGACAAGTCATGATTAACTGTTATTGTCTCTCAAAACGTTCCGCAAGGCATAACGGATAAGGTATTCTTTTTTTTCAAAAAATCCAAAAACACGACAATTTTGTTTGTGAGGGGGACAACTTTTGCCCCAAAAATGATTGCGAAATCTTCAAATCTCTAAGCGGGGGTGTCATCCCCAACTTTTTTCAAATGGGAAGGGGGGTCAAGTGGCACCGCAATGGAAAAAGCTTTCTATTCTCTATATTTCCCCGCCTCGTTTTTGGAAATCGGTTGAGTCATTGAGAAAATATGAAGGATTGGAATTTGAAAAGTTTATTTAAACATTTATCAGAGTAAATGATAAGGATAGATTCTTTCGACCAATTTGAGGTTTTTTCTTATTATTTCTAGATGTTTACGCATTTTTTCACTTGCCACAAGGTTGAACGATCAGGTGCGGTAGTTGCTAGATAGCTGTTCTGTGACTTGTGCGTTGAAGTTCTTCTCAATATCGTTAAACTGACCCACAATAGAATTTCCAAAAATACCAGCTCACACGTTCAACTTCTGAGGATTTTGTGTGTGCACCTCGTGAAAAACCCTGGGGTTGTCCTCAGCCCAGTACCGACAGCTGTGCTGATTAACTACACCGTTCAAAAAGAAAGTACACTCATCCGAAAAACACACATTAAATTGGAAATTATTATCATTCGCCAATCGTTCACCCATAGTTTCACAAAATTGCAAGCAACGATCAAAATCGTCTCCGGTAAGTTCTTGTACCAACTGAATTTTGAACGGGTGGAACTTGTGTTTTTTTAATATCCTTTGGACACTTGTACGATTCACGCTGGTCTCATTGGCTAATTTTCTTGTACTCAGCGTACTATCCATGGCAACTTGCCCCAATACAAATACCTCCATAGCTTTATTTACTACAGGATTTTCCCTCTGTCTCTTTTTATTCATAACGGAACCAGTTTCGCGAAATTTTGCTACTAACTGGCGAAAAATTTTGCCATAAAGGTGTTTGTCAGGATGGTGTTCATTGAATATCTGCGCAAATCGATTGCCACATTCATTATTTTTAAAATAAAGTTCAATTATTTCCACTTTTTCTGCAAGTGAGTACACCATAATAATTATTAAAAAATTTAACGATATTGAGAAGAACTTCAACGCATAAGTCACTGAACAGCTATCTAGCAACTACCGCACCTGATCGTTCAACCTTGTGCCAAGTGAAAAAATGCGTAAACATCTAGAAATAATAAGAAAAAACAGCAAATTGGTCGAAGAAATTTATCCTTGTCATTTATTCTGATAAATGTTTAAATAAACTCTTTTCGAATTTCAATCCTTCATATTTTCTCAATGACTCGACCGATTTTCAAAAACGAATCCGGAATGTATAGAGAATAGAAAGCCCTTTTCATTGCGGTGCCACTTGACCCCCCTTCCCATTTGAAAAAAATTAGGGGATGACACCCCCGCTTAGAGGGTTGAAGATTTTGCAGTCATTTTTAGGGCAAACGTTGTCCCCCTCACAAACAAAATTGACGTGTTTTTGAATTTTCTGAAAAAAAATTACTCTGGCCGTTATGCCTTGCGGAACGTTTTCGATGGGCTACCCTGTATTTGCAAGAGCACCTGAAATATCTAGAATATGATCGAAAAAAAAACAGCGTTAGCGATGGCTATGAAATGAAGATCGCTGTCAGAATTATGGGAATGTCATCGATATTAATTTCCACGCCAACTAGATGCCGTTTTTTCTCGGTCATACGGTATTAATTGTATTATTATAGTAAGCATTTCCAAAAATTGGCACATAACTAACGATTTTTTTTTCAAAATTCTTTCAGAACCCAACCGCAATCGAGCCTCAGGTTCCTGGGACAGTGTTGCCGCGCTGCCGCTGGACAAATACCTAGTGCTGCCCTCTGGCTAACCGAAAAGGGAAAATACACGATACCGCTAATGCATACCGCACATACGTACTACTACGAGACGGACTCGAAATTTAAAACTCTCCAAAACTAGGATAAAGTAAAAATAAACTGTGAAAATGTGTATACTCTTTACTGCGTTAAGCATAGCATAATTTAATATAATGATTATTAGTATAGTGTATAAAATTATTTAGAATCCAAAGTATAAAGTATATAGTGATAAAAAAGATATTTTTTGAATTTTATTTTATTTTGTCGTTTGTTTTTAAAAAAATGAGCATTTTATTTTAATTATTTTTTTGATTATATTATAATTATTAATATGGAAAATTTTTATACTATGATATGAAAGTTGGTTTATGTTTTTACTTTTTTACTGAAAATTATTTTTTTATTTTTACTATAGTGGTAGTAATATATCGTGTGTTGCATCGCCGATCTGGTCAAAAGTAAATTTTAAAAATTATGAATAAGTTTCCCCATTTTATTTTTAAAGAAAAATTTATTTAAAACTTTTTAAAAAACTTCTTAAATTGAAGCAAATTGTTCTTTTTGAATGGTTTATACGAATATGAGAGACGAAAGTTATGAGAGAGACAAAAATACTTGGGAAAAAAACGGGGAAAACTTATTAATCATTTTTAAAATCTACATGGAATTTCTTATGTCCAGGTCGGCGATGCAACAGACTGTAATATTATATTAATAGTATATATATTTTTTACTATATACAAGGTGCTAGAAATTCAAGGTACGAGCATTGATATCTCGGAAACCGTAATAGATACCAAGGTGGTTAAATTGGGGCAAAGTTGCTCCTTGGTATGTTCACCAAGATGCCATCAAAAAAGTTTTTAAAATTTAAAGGATTGCTGAGTTTTTTGGAAAAAACTGATTTTTATTTGAAAATTAATTTTATTTTTTCCTGTCGTTACATTTTAGAAAATCACAAAACTAATTGTACATTCTCACAGCCACTTTATTAGGGCTATCTGGTAGTATTTTTAGATTTTCAAATTAGCTGATAATTCGTGAGATACATAGATCAACTTAATTTTTTTAAATACGGACCTGCACTTTTTATTTCAGGTTTTGAGAGAACTCGGTCTCCTGAATACAATGATATGCCACACTTTACACTTTTTTTTCGTTTCGGGTACCTTAACAGCAACAAAACTATTTAATTATACAGGGTTGTTCACCACATTCGACACGGATTATTGTAGCTAAACGATTAGATTTTTACAAATTGTAAGTTTTGGGTTTTATGAAGGTCTATTAGAGCTACAATTTAAAAATATTTTTACAATATGCAGAGTGTCCCAAATAAGTAAAAAATATTATAGTTGTATTTTTTTAAATGGAACACCCTGTATATTATTCTATTTTTGGATTCTACGATTGAAATAAAGATAAATTTGATTAAGGTTTATCGCACTTAAACCTTACCGTTTTTGAAATATTTTCAATTTTATGAAATTGCAGTAAAAAATTTAAGGCTTTATTTCTCCAAGGGTATCAAAGTTTTTAATACTAAATATTTACTGAAGATTTTTTATTGATCAGATATTGCGTTGCAATAAAAAAAATTTTACTACCTTATACAGAGTGTCCAAAAATTTATATTAAATAATTACTAGCTTTAAACCGCAATAACTTGTTTAATTTAAATGGAACGCCCTATATATTTTACGTGAATCAGATGCACAATGTAATTGTCTATCAAATTGTATTATATCATTTTTTACGCATCTCTTCAAGTTTTCGTAGAAAATGCATTTTCTTACAATTTAGACCTCATTTATCACTATACCCATGAACTATTGACATTTCCGATTTTTTTATAGCACCATAATATGTACAAAACGTACAGGTGGTGAATATTGCAAGCCTGTTGACATACAAAAAACTATTTAAATCTTTGTAAAATAGTATACCAATTAAGTATACCACCATTATTTCCTACCAAAAACACCAAAAATTAGTTAATTACATACCTTTAAATTGTTTTAATTAATAAATTATTCTAAATAAATGTGGATTTGGCTCAGAAATCAATATAATAATAAGTTATGAAAATGAATGTCTCTGTTTTTATAAATAAGCATTCGTCAATAAATGAAATAAAATTTATAAGATGTTACTTTTTACCAAACTGTCTAATACACACACAAAATTCAGTTTTTTAGTATTTGGAGCAATTATTACTACAACGTAAACAGTCAATTAATGTAGTTTGAATACTGGGATCATATTAATTGGTCCTCTTTAACAAAAAATATTTAAACAGTTATTTTTTAATTAAATAAACGAACTATATCGACAATATTAGTATCTGTACCCTATTATTTATTACATCTTTAAAAATAAGCTAAAATGTCAATATTCCATGGGTATAGTGATAAATGAGGTCTAAATTATAAGAAAAGGCATTTTCTATGAAAACATGAACAGATGGGTAAAAAATGAAACAATACAATTTGATAGACAATTACATTGTGCATCTGATTCACGTAAAATATATAGGGTGTGCCATTTAAATTAAACAAGTTATTGCCCTTTAAAGCTAGTAATTATTTAATATAAATTTTTGGACACTCTGTATAAGGTAGTAAAATTTTTTTTATTGCAACGCAATATCTGATCAATAAAAAATCTTCAGTAAATATTTAGTATTAAAAACTTTGATACCCTTGGAGAAATAAAGCCTTAATTTTTTTCCTGAATTTCATAAAATTGAAAATATTTCAAAAACGGTAAGGTTTAAGTGTAATAAACCTTAATCAAATTTACCTTTATTTCAATCGTAGAATCCCAAAATAGAATAATATACAGGGTGTTATATTTTAAAAAATACAACTATAATATTTTTTACTTATTTGGGACACTCTGTATCTTGTAAAATTATTTTTAAATTGTAGCTCTAATAGTCCTTCAACGAACCCAAAACTTACAATTTGTAAAAATCTAATCGTTTAGCTACAATACTCCGTGTCGTATGTGGTGAACAACCCTGTATTTAAAATAATTTCAAGTCCGACTCTGGTTTCTAAAATTATTTAATCGGATTATATTCATGGCAACAATACTGATCAGCGCTAATTAACATTGAATAAAAAGAATTGAGGATTCAAATAAATAATATCCAGGTCAGAAATTTAAAGATATTATTTTTAATTTTTTTTATTGTGAATTTTAAATCTCATTGTGCGATCTAATAATATGCATAATATTAATCGTAGTTATTATAAATAAATCAACTTCTACAAACTAGTTTCTAATGTTCTACATATTTTCAAAAGGGTTACCACTCTCCCTATCGCACAAATTTATTTTTCGTTCAATTTTATTTATAGCTCTTTGAACTTTCCTTTTATACTCTTTATTGTAAATGTTGAGATGAATTGATTTGACACTTTTACAAATGACGTCAAGTAATGTAGCCCCTTGGCGATAGGTCCAGGACCTCATTGAACTCGCTGAACATTATACTGCTCTACCATGTTCAATCCATCTTCCGGGAAAATGATTTGATTGTTTATATTATATTATATCTATATTAATTATTTTATTGCATTTGATTTTCCGTATTCAATGTTTTACAACAATTTTTCCTTATCAATATTGTAATGATGAAAAGATTAAATATTAAAAAAACAGAGCCGGACTTCAAATTAGTATAAACAAACTGTGTGTTCAAATGTCCGAAACAAAAATATTAATTGTGGCATATCATTGTACTCAGGAGACCGAGTTCTTTCAAAATCTGAAATGAAAAATGCAGGTCCGTATTTAAAAAAAATAAGTTGGCCTCTGTATCTCACAAACTATCAGCTAATTTGAAAATCTAAAAATACCATCAGATAGCCCTAATAAAGTGGCTGTGAGAATGTGCAATTAGTTTTTTGATTTTCTAAAAAGTAACGACAGGAAAAAATAAAATTGATTTTCAAAAAAATCCGTTTTTTCCAAAAAAACTCAGCAATCCTTGAAATTTGTAAAACTTTTTTGATTGTATCTTGGTGACCATCCCAATACGCAACTTTGTCCCAATTTAACCATGTTTGTATCTATTACGGTTACCGAGATACCAATGCTCGTTCCTCGAATTTGTAGCACACACTTTTGTATATACACTATTTAATACAATCCCAGCTCAGGCTTAATTTTGACTATATAAAATGATTCTAAAAAGCAAAAATATTAGCCAAGTTTCACGTCCTTTTTACCTAAAATTGTGAACCAAAATACGTAAAAATATTTGAACAACACCCGGTGCCATACTTTAACAAAATTATAATAAAAAAATCAACGATATACGTAACTGAATACATCCTAATAGATATATTTACATCATAAGTTAATCATAAAAAACGTCCCTATATACATATTTAATTGACTGAAAGTTTATATTATTTTTTTTTGTTTCGTCCTTTATATTGTATTTTGTACATAGAATATATTTTTAATTAAAATATTATATATATAATTTTTCACTCCAACAAATTCTTTATAAGTGTGAGAAAAAAATACTGAATAAAAACAGAAATATAGAATTTTTTGGAATGATTTTAACGTAGAGGTGTAGTATCACTGTAGATGTTTTAATAGTGATACTGAGAATCACTAGATTCGTGCAATATGTACTAAATTTCTCGCATTTTGTTCTTTTAACTTAGTACTAAATAGATTATTTACTTTGTAGAAGATTTTGTAAACTTTTCGGAAGTTTTTTTTTTAATTTAAAAACAATTATTTTTGTATATTTTTTCTACAAAAAGTTTGAAATTGTTTAACGTTTTTGTTATTTTATATTTCGTATTATCCAAGCAGGGTGATTTACGATATTTTTTGTTTTAAATTTAGGATATTGTTTAAAATTTTTACAAAATTTAGAATTAGATGTTTCGTCGTGTAAATCTTTTTGAAAATTTTTCAAAATCGTTGGGAGGTAGTGTCGATATAGTCGTTTTTTTTATTTGATCGGTGTTTGCTAATTGTTTTATTTTGAATATGACATAGGCGTCGACTTGGGGAAGTATAGAAAGAAAAATAAAACGTTTAAATCGAGTAAAACGTTTATTTTACAGCTGCAATCCAAAAATTTAAAAATGTTGTTTTGGATAACTGAATGGTTAATAAAAAATGGCTTTCTTTCTGATAGAGGGATTTCAAAAATCTTTAGCCCAAAAT